TCTCTCTCTCTCTCTCTCTCTCTCTCTCTCTCTCTCTCTCTCTCTCTCTCTCTCTCTCTCTCTCTCTCTCTCTCTCTCTCTCTCCCTCCGCTGAGGGGGGCGGCCCCCAACCGGGTGCCCTGCCCAGCCAGGCCGCCCGGGACCTCCCCCGGGCCCCTGCCGGTCACCCGGGCAGCCCGGATCCCCACTCAGCCTTTTGCTATATTAATTATTTTGACCGTTACCCACTACTACCCAGCGAAAGCTCGCGTTTTTAGCAGAACAACAGCTCGTAAACCAGTGTTATTGTGGCAATCCCCAGACAAATACATGAGGAGGGGCTCCTGGACATCATGAAGATCTTGCAGCAGTGAGAAGGTCAAGATCGTGCTCGGATGATTGGGCATCCTTCAGCCAAAGGACAGGATGTACCTGTCCTGTGACTTAGTCGTGCACCAGCTCTGCCGCTGCACTACATGCATGTTGATAAACAGATCAAGAGTTCAAAACCTGAAATCCTGAATACCGTCATCGTGTTTATATGACAATGCTAGGCACTACCACCCTTTATCAGGAATTCAAAAAAAAAAAAAAAAAAAGCTTGCAGTGAGGCTGGATCTTACCATCATAAATAGTCCATGCTCGTGGGAAAAGTGCATGGTAAGTTGAGTCTCCTCCATCCAATCCCCAGTCCCATGAGTTAATTCCGTGGTCAACTTTGCGCTTTGCCACGTTGCATTTCAGTCCCTGTACAAACCTAACGACCAGCCCCCCATAAAACAAACAACAGAACGCAGAACATAAACGTACGGCAAAAGACAATCGTTTGCTAGGATACTTTTTTGGGCACCTGCGTTGCCTCTGGCTGCCCGGAATGCCGGGCTGGGTAACCTCTCGGGCAGGGTCCCGGCCCGCAGCCCCCCAGCAGCCCCAGCACAAAAAAGAAAAGAAAAAAGCTAAAAACAATCAAAAAATTATGGCTTGTAGAAAAGCAACTGCTGCAACACTAACAAATTCTGGCTGAGAGCCACCTCAGAATTCCTTACAGAATCAAAGAAAAAAAAGGAAAATAAAGAAAACCAAACAAAGGCACACCCGATTAAACCCCTGCGGAGTTCAAACTTCAAACCCAATTTATACCCTCCTTCGCATCCCCCAACATGCAAAACCGAGAAACAAAAGACAGCCTAGATTTGGGGTTCTTTCAATGGGCACAGAAATGTCCCTCCGCCGGGAAAAAAAAAAAATCCCCACACTTCTAAAATGCCCACTTTTCCCCAGCAGCCCATTCCAGGTAACCTAGCGATTTTGTAAAAATAATAGAATACTGTGTACCCTGAGAAGCAGTGTTGCACAGCCACTACATGGTAGGGCCTACACGGGTGTGTACGGACATTACGAGTAGGCAAAACCCCATGTAGGTGCAAACTTGTCCTGAATAAAACACCACATTAGATCTCTATGACTCTCTCTCTCTCTCTCTCTCTCTCTCTCTCTCTCTCTCTCTCTCTCTCTCTCTCTCTCTCTCTCTCTCTCTCTCTCT